GCTTTCTTGAACTTGGTCTGTTGGCAATCAGCCACCCAGACTTGTTTTCTTTTGTTATCTCCTTCCTTCTTTTTACCGGCCGAGTCTTGCTGAGAAGAGGGTTTCTTCTCGGCGCCCTTGGCCGGCTCCTCTACTTTTGTAAGCGAACAGAAATCAACTGCCTCTATATATATGATTTGGCCTCCCGCAGAACACTTGCGTATGTCCGAGTCTTTTTTCTAATCAAGTCAAACTTGAAACCATTATGCCTTAAGCCTCGAAAAAACTCTAAGTAAGCCATTTCATCCGGCAGATTCTAAATTTGTGCTTTCTCCATGTTAAACCTTTGAACGTACAAACGCAACCCCTCTTTCTTCCCTTGGACGATGGTCGCCAAGTTAAGACTAGTCTTCCGGGGTGGTATATTGTAGGAGAAGTTTCCAACAAACAAGCTGAGAGTTGTAAAGCAATTGATATATCCGGTCGGCAAACTGTTGAACCAGTCTTGAGCCACACCCTTGAGGGTGGGCGGGAAGCATTTGCACCAAGTGGCATCATCTACACTTTGAAAGTACATCAAATTTTTGTACGAGGAAATATGTCTTCTAGGTTGCCTGTACCGTCATAAGCACCTATAAGTACACTCTTCACTTTGGCTGGGTGGGAAGAGTTAAGAATTTATTGAGAAAACGGAGGCGGCTTGTCACTAAGATTCAACAAGTGCATTTGCCAATTAATAGGTTGAGGTTGTGCGACCGCTCTGACCAGGTAAGTTGCCTGGTCGTACGGCTGACCATATTGCTCGTACTACCCATACATATGGGGAGTAGGCGGCTGGATTGCACCATAGTTATGGGGCATTTGAAACTGAGCTAGTTCAGATAAAGGATCTAGAGTTAGAGTATAGTGAGCTTGACTTCTACTGGTCCTGGCCGAGCTGGTATGCTAGGAGAGGCTATGGCTTGACATTTCATCCGGCATGGTGGGAGTGGAAGCAGTGTCCGAGTAGTAGGACTGTGCCCACTCCTGCCGCTTGTGCCGAAGGTAGTCTCTAGTATCACTAAAGTGTTGGGACGGCTCGTTTGAGGCAACCTCATCTGCCCCCCAACCGACTTCGATTTCTCAAGCAGCCTCGACCAGTTCGTTCGAGGCACCTTAGGGGACCTTGGCTGCCTCCTAAACAGAGTAACTCCCGCATCTTCAGTATTGGTCGCCTTGGTGTAGACACCTAAAAATGTCTCCCCAAAGCCAAACCCGATGATGAACAACCTTTCACCGCCATTATTGGTCGGATCGAGTATTTAATCTTGGGAGTGCTTAAAAATCCACATTCAGTCAAACACAACTTACAAATCAGTCAACAGGTCGATCCAACATTTATTCAAACTCAGTCCAACTCACATTTTAGCCCAAACCCTTTTAAATTCATCTCGTTTTATTTATTAATTAAGCCCGATTAATAAATAATAAAACCCTAAGCCTGAAATAAGTCTGGAATAGCTGAAACGGTGCCTAATTATCACGTGCTTAATGCTTAAAAAAAAGATAAAATGAATTTAGACCGAATTTAGGAAAACTGATTTGCCGCGCCACGGCAAAAATGTCGCGTCACGGCAAATTGCGTCGCGTCACGGCAAGCAGTACCTTGTCACGACAATTTGCGCCGTGACACGGCAATTTTTAGGTTTAATTTCTTCGCGGCCCTTCAATTCTAGGGTTCCGTGCTTCACCCCTCGTATTTTCTCTATAAATACGAAGCTGATTTCACCAGTTTCAGGGCACTAAATCATCCTCTCTTATGCACCAAATCATTCTCTCTTTCTCTCTTATGCTCTAGCCTAAACACTAGCCTTCCCTATTCTTCCACAATACATCCCTAAGCACTCTCCGGAGTCCGTACTTTACCCGAGGTTCTAAACTTAAACCAAGGCGTGAAAGGTAGAAGTGTTTGAGGGTTTGGTCCCAAATCAACTCTAGTTTAATTTAATTTAATTTCCATTATTATTTATTATTTTCCTTGAATTTACTAACAATTTATTCACGATGTAGTGATTTAAAGAAGCATGGAACGTGAGTAATTAATCACTTAATTACTCTTATTTTTATTCTTATTGCTAGTATCATGATTAGGCCTATTATTATGATTTGATTTTACTAACGTTATTATGGATGAATTGCTTCCAATGTTAATGATGGTTCTATTGTTATTGTATTGATCACCGTATTGCATATTAAAGGGAATACGTAATTGAATATGATGCCTAATAAGATAATTTGGACAACCGGTTTAGGTTCCTTTTTAATCTTGTTGTTTAATCAAGTGATCACTAACAATTAGAATTATTTGTTGCATTAACATTTAACCAGTTTAGCCTAATATTAGTTTGGAGCAAATTGAATCTTTGTTTGTATGCCTTTGAGATCACAGGAATCACTTTTTACAATAAGAATCGAGTAGAGGCCAATACGGGCGAATGTGACTCCATGACTCATTTCGTACCATCATCCCCGATCCTCCTTTCATGGTTCCGAACCATATGGAGTTAGTAATCTCATGGATTATGAATGGGGTGTAACCTTCACGGGTCAATCGTTGTTGCCTATCGTTGTCCCTTTTCATGGTTGCCTTTTAATGATCCGTGAACGGTTTACAAGCTCCTTAAAAACTGGTTGGTGGCTCCCTACTTTTCTTTGTCCTTAATCGTGTTCCTAATCATCAATTCCCACTTCCTATGAGTGCCAAGCATATTCACAACATGCTTAACGTAGGCGCGCTTCGAATGATGCCTACACTTGGCATGGGGCTTCTATTTGGTACCCTCTCCTTCTTTTCTGGGCGGTTGCCTAGAGGAAGAGGGTATCCTGCCCTCTTGGCCAAAGCAGCCTGCAAGGAGCCGACCGTCTCAGGAGGATCCTCGGCCTCATGGAACGAGGTGATCAGAGGATCATTACTGTTGATGTTGACTTCAATATTCTCTACATGTATGTCCTGAACAGGACTAGGTGTCTGACCATCTTTAGCGATTTTAGACGGGTATCCCCACAGATGGCGCCAAATGTTTCGAGGTTTGTTGGAATCTCTCGGGATATAGGTCTTGAATATAGCCGGACGACCGTAGACACCTGCAAAACAACGAATATTCCGATTGACGAAATATTCGCCTCCGACAGTCAAGTTAGTGATCGGAAAACGAAAGTGTTTTAGAGAGAGAAAGTAGAGAGAAGTTAGAGCGATTTGCTTATGCAATAAATGATATGTCTCAATCCACCCCTCCCATCATAAATTATTGGGGTATTTATAGGGGTGGGAATGTGTGCCCTTTAGGGTCGGTGCCCTAAATAGGTGCAACCTGATTGGCGGCACAATCAGTGCAGGACATGTGTCCTTTGAGGGCGCTGCTATGACGCTTTTCTCGAGATTTGGGCCTCCTGATGTAAGGAGGCCTTCTCTCTTTCAGGTGCTCTTTTGTTGGGCACGTGTCATCTTCCTATTGAGACACATGTCGCCCTTTTATTGGGCCACGTGTCACTATGGGATTGGACCACGTGTCACTATGGGATTGGACTACGTGATGGGGTATTTTTACCCTAAACACACCCGACCCGAAATTGACCTAACCCAAACTTGACTCGATATCCGACTCGAAAAATACACGAAACCTAAATTGACTCAACGCGTATTAGATCTTAATGTTAGTTGACCCGAAATTGACCCGTTTGCCTAGACATGGCAATCCTGACCCGAACTTGACTTGAAAACAACAACCCAAAATCGACCGACCTAACCCAAAATTGGAAACACACGTTAAATCTTGAATACCATACAATTACATGTAGTATTCATCTATTAGGAACTTCTACCAAAAATTACACACGTTAAATCTTGAATTGTAATAGAAATAATATACTCCATTCGTTCTAGTTTATATTGCCTGTTTGTGTTTTTTCACGGTATTTAAGAAGTGGGAGGAAAAAGTGGATGAAGTAAATTGAAAAAAGTGAAAAGTACAATTATAGACAAAAGTTAGAGAGAGAAAGTGGAAAAAAGTACAAGGCAAATGGAAAATTCAAGGCTAATTTAGGAAGTACAATGAGTAAAGCTAAAAATTTTAATGGTATAATAGTCTTTACATACTATTCAAAAATAGAAACAGGAACAACATTTTGGGTTCCCAAAATAGAAAAACAGAAACTATAATATGGGACGAAAGGAGTAACACTTTTATCAATATTGGTATTCATACAATCATACATTGCGTGCATGAATGACTAGTGTTTTTTAGAGCAAGAAAGGGCAAGCCCCGAGGGTAAGAAACTGCAAAGAAGACTAAAAAACAAAAACACACAGCAAATGAGCAAAATAAATACGAAGTAATTAACTTTCAAAAAAAAAAAGTAACTATGAAGAGCTAAACTCTACTATTTCTCTAAAATTAGCCACCAAACAAAGTTTGGTCTAATGGTTAGGTTTGCCATCTCACTACCAAAAGGTTGTGGGATAAAACCCCGCTAAAGAATCTTCTTCAGGGCAGGAAATTCCTTGCCCTTCCTCCGCACTTCCAAACGGCGTTGTCCGCTAGCTCAAGGCGGGTTCACATGCACTAGACGAAAAAGGTAAAAAGGCACTAGTTCAAACCCCCCCTTTGGCACCGGTTTTGAACCGTTGGGGATTTGAGGGATGTCAAATCCATGAAAATTTGGCACCGGTTCAAAACCGGTGCGAAATACACTCTTTGGCACCGGTTAACCGGTGCCAATTACCCATGGCGCGCTTTTTTTATTTCAGTACAATAGGCACCGGTTTTGGCTTAGAACCGGTGCCAAAAGTCGCCCAATAGGCACCGGTTTTTACTTATAACCGGTGCCAAAAGTCCCAAAAACCGGTGAAAAAAAAATTTAGCACCGGTTCTTTTTAAAACCGGTGCCAAAAATGCCCAAAAAAAATATTTTTTTTTTTTTGCACTTAAATTGTACCAAATACTTATATATAATCATAATATATATAAAACACATATGTTTTCTTCAATAACTTGTAATATTACACATATACATAATAGGACTATATATATATTGTGTACATTGGAAATCTGAGCCCGTAAGCAGCATGACAAGTCTGTCCACGCCTAGCCCCTAGCCTGCAGATGGAGGAAGCCCGTATTCCAGAGCTCTAACAAAAGTCTCGTCTACAGTAGTAGCTTCCTTGCCTTCCTGATCCTGTGAACACGAAGCAATTTCATCACAATACAAGAACAAGTAACTCTGGTTTACTAGTAAGACAGAGCGCATGGAAGAGATAATAGTGCCTTAATTAAAATCCAATGACCAGCAAGGCAAACACTACAGAAGTCGGGGCCTGCAGTTCAAGGAATTCTAGGTAGATGTGATAGAAATGGGGAAATATAAAAGCTTTAGCACAGAGCCAAATTGGTATCTAGATAGATAGGCAGCCTGATTTTATAGCAAATTTTTTTTACCTGAAATCATACTTCACATTGTTTTAGGATGTACAAATCTAAAATTATCACTTGTGATCGTGCTACAGATGTACAGATCTAAAATTATCACTTGTGAGATAAGTTTGATAATATAAGCCTTCAGTAGCTATGTATAATCTGGATTTTCACTTGAATTCTATTATTCTTTGTGATCTTACACTCTAATTTAGAAACACGGTTAACAACCTAACACCACCACAAAAAAAAAAAAAAAAAAAAAAAAAAAAAAAAACGCTTAACAATTAAAACCAGTTTGGGTTTTTCTCTCCTGTGATATCAGAAGCAATAATTTGCCTTTTTTTTAAAAAAAAAAAAATAGCCTATATTCATTCTGCTAAAGTGACCTTGTGAAACATGTTAATTCTGGTTATATTGCAAATTACATTTGCTAATTCATACTCTGTAACCACTTAGCTTAAGCCAAAAGGAAAATAGAAGCATGACATATAAAGAAGATATGACCCGATGTAATGACGTATCAACAAAACAGATTCATCACTACACAAACAAGGAGCAACGAGGGGTTATTTTATTCCTCTACTTAGAAGTAAATAATGTCACATAAGTTTTAAGTAGTAGCTTCATATCTGAAACATACAGAAACTTTAGCTCTAGTGCTTTAGATTGTGCATTTTAATCAATAAAGACAGAGGTAGTAGGTTGGATTTAGGCAATCATAAATATTGGGACTTAAGGCATAGATGTTGTACGGTCTTTGATAGGGTGAATTCTGAAATAATTTAATCAATAAACCACAAATTTTCAAACTACATCATATTTCAATAAATATAATTAACACAAGAGGGATCCCAGTACAAAATTTTATGACTAATCAACACTATCATCCTCATACTAAGAGGATTGATGGTCTTGATACATAATTAATATCCAGAAAAAAAATCATTTTTTATTGGTGGAACTTTCACAAGTCTTCATTATTATAGGACAGAGATGCATTAAGTATTTCCTTTAATTATAGTGATACAATGTTGCATATGAAAATTCAATTAATATATAGATCATACCTCACGAGTGTCTTTTATGACGATAGAATTTGAAGAAGCTCCAATTTTAGACACTGATCTAATAAAAAACAGTTCCCTATCCTGCAAGTAAATAGATAGAATATTACAATATATTAAACCCTGTAAGTAAATGGATATAATATATTAAATTTTGCAAGTCAACGCCTATGGCAAGCAGTTGTTTCTATATTACAAAATTCATAAGCCTTGTCAATGTTCCACAGCACAAGAGCTGATCTGAATTAGCAATAAACTTGGAAACCGTCCCCTATTCTGTCCCAGAAGATTACAAGATATTTTCTGATAGTTTATAGAATATGCAGATTGTAGACAGTTAGAGAACCGAAGCTCAAATTGGTCAAACACTCAAACATGCATGTTGGCCACTACACAAATAGCAAGTGAGTAGAACAAAGACAGAGGTAGTATAGAGTAAAACATGCATGCACTCCTAATCTGATTAATTGCTTCTACAAATCTACTAACAAGTGGTGGTTGGTATAGAATAAAATGAGGTGTGCATATTAGCATGTACTCACTCTTTTCCAGTAAACTAATTAGAGAATATATCCAAGAATAAATTTATGTCAATAACAAATTAATAAGTACACAAGCACCAAGTAAATATCAGTTATATATGTTGTACTACAATTCAAATAACATAGATCTAGCCTATGTGACATTTGATACATTCAGAAAGCTATATGCTACTTGAGAACTGCTAGTTTGCTAAATGCTACGGAGTATAACAAAAATTACTGTTTACTGAAATATAAGTTTTCAACTATTCTATGTTTTATAGCTCATTTGAAATATATTGAGGGTAATTAAAGAAAAAGAAAACAAACAGTGGCAAAATGAATTGATTAAAAAAGCAAATGGATACAGAAATTTGTCTTAAAAACCTTCACTAAACAAAGCTAACAATGGAATTAGAAAGACTCATGCTCATCCAATTAGATATGAGATACTGTTAAAATCAACACCAAAAGTCAAGAAAAATATCACAATTTCTCATAGTCAGCCTGTGCGTTCCCTCCCAAATTTGTTTTCATGATAAAAACTCTATAAACCAATGACATAAAAGTGGCAAAACATCCGGATTATTATACTTACAAGGCATCAACAGTAAGCATTCTACCAATCTGGTGTCTTGAGTTGCCAGGGATTGAAAGTTGAACATGAGTCACTGGAAAGAACCTAATCAGTCAGCGGAAGCACAAATACAAGTCACCAACTAAACCATAATTAGTTCACACAACGAGAAACTATAAATACATCCAATTTTTCTATTAAAAAGCAGAGGAGAATTCATAGAGGAAGGCTCTAGATGAGAGTAGAACCTGTGCATTTCATTACAAAATGTTAGAAAAGAGAGCTTTCTAGAATCGGAAATGATAACCAACATGCCTTTCCCCACAACCTGCAGAAGGAATAAAATATGCATTCAATTACAATGCAAGAAAAGAGATGTAGCCATTATGAGCATTAACATGAGGGTTCCTTACATCATGTAAAACCTGTGAGTTATTTTGTCCATATATGTCGAAATATTGATCGGATTACTTTAAGGTCGAGTCGGGTTACTTTTTTACGCATCTAATTAAAAACCCCTGTCATAGTGATAACTGATAAACCCTTAAAAAAAACCTTGACCTAATAAGCATGAATAGCGATCTCTGCAAATCCTCATAGCAGCTACAATGTAAGCTAAGTTTGACTGATTTTGCAAATCTATTTATTCATGCAAGTTTTCACATAAACAAAATTTGAGTTTCTATATTGCTGTTTACAAGTGATGTGTATAGCAACTATAGCCCCTGTATCATAGACGATGAAACTCTACTGGTTCTTTGATAAGTAGGAAAAAAAGTTCTCTGATCTTAAACAAAGGAAAACTAAAGGTCTCACCCCCCTATAAAGTTTGGTAAATGATGTAGTTATTTTAAAACAAGTGAAGAATCACTCCCTACCTCGTCACATAGCTAAAGAATTAAGAGTTAAGACACGTCTAGAGGCCTATATACATTACCAAAGCACCCATAGAACTTTTCGAAAAGAAAAAAAGTTGTTCTATATATTTTTAATCCTTATGGCTTATGCAATGTCAAATTCACCAAACATAACTGTAGAAAATAAGAGAATAAATAGGTAGGAAAAGAGAAGTTAAGGAGTTTGAAGGCTTCAAACAACCAGCAAGCCATCTTAGAGATCAAGAGGAAAAGCTATATAGTCTAATATTTGCCAACTAACTGATCTATACATGTGTGGAATGCCACCTTAAAGCTACTTAATTTACTTCAGTCATTATGGGAGTTCCGTATCATAAAACCTATTGTGTACTACCTACCTTGACATACAGCATAAGTCATAACCACCATACCTAATCTTTACACAACAAAAACTTCAATATAAACTACTGCTCTCAATAAACATATTACTCTTACATTTATTTTGTATAAATGCTCTTAATATTAAATAAATAATGTGCAGTAATTTAATTAAATAAGGAATACTTACGAGACGATGATGAAAATTAGAAATAAAACCAAAACCCTAAAATAAAACCAGAACCCTAAAATTACAAAATTGAAAACCAAATCAACGACAAACCCTAGGTTCTGAAGAAATTCGGTAGATTAAGAAGACCACAATGGCCCAAATCTTACCTCGAAGCTGCTTCAATGGAGGTGAGAAAACTCAGAATGCGCTTCAATGGAGAATAGAGAGCACGAGTTCAATGGAGGAGAGATATGGAGAGAGAAGGAGGTGCATGCAGCTGCTTCAACGAAGATAGAGAGCTCAAAAACGGCTTCAATGGAGAAGGTGGGAATTCGGAGGTAGTGGCCTGGAAGAGAAGGTGAGAACGAGGGAAAAAACAAGTGTTGAAAAATCAGGGGGAAAGAAAAGAAGAAGAACTAGAAGCCCGGTTTATTTAATGGCACCGGTTCAAACCGGTGCTAACTACTATAGTTGGCACCGGTTTAAGACGAACCGGTGCCAACTCTATTGCTTTCTTCGGTTTTTTTTTTTTTTTTTTTTTTTGGTTGGCACCGGTTTCAACCGGTGCTAATTAGATTAGTTGGCACCGGTTTTGGTTGGAACCGGTGCCAACTCTAAATTTTCCAATCCCGCCCATTTCTTTTGGCACCGGTTTTCAAGAACCGGTGTTAAAGGCGGGGTGCCTATGTCAAAATTTATACTAGTGATGTGAGAGGTTCCAGCTTGATAGGGCCCTTTCCCTTACCTTTATAAAAAAATCCTCTAGAACCAACCTCTACAAAGGATATTAAGTGCAATTACTAGATATATCAAGGATCACTATTATAGAGATAATTAGTTCATTATTTTGGGTCGTCATTGTCTGTTGCTAGATATGATAAATGATCTTTGGGCTAGTCAAATAGTCCAAAGCCCAGTAAAATGGATCCTATGAGGTCACACACAAGGGTATTGAATTGAACAAGTATGAAGCCCATTAATGAGCCTCATGAGGTAATGACAAGCCATGTAAGGAGTAGGGCTAGTATAGTTAGAATTGGGTTAGGAGTTTGGACTTCACATGGACTCTAATTATATATGTGATATATAAATAGAGGCCATTCCTAGGGTTGAAATACAAGTCACAATTAACCTAAGCAGTAAATTGTGAAGTAAGCAACCAAACTCTCTCAATCCCTCTCTCACACGCCTCTTTCTCTCTCTCCCCTCCTCCGTACAACCGTACGGACCACCCAAGCAAGGTGGTTGCTTGTAGTGGTGGTGGTGGTGGTTCGTGGCTTGATCGTTTCCTTTCCTCTCCGTAGAAGGTGGCTCGAAATGTTCGTGCTCGACTAACTAGCATTAGTTCAATCTGTGCCCGTGGACCAAGTAGAGGAATCACGTTTGGGGTTCTAGATCTCCTCGTTGTTCTTGCTCGATCACTTGTGGAATCATGCTTCATAGGTACAATAGTGCGTTCTTTATGTGTTATGTTTGTAGATCCTGTTTAGGTGCTTATGAATATGATTTATGCAATTCCGCCTATAGTACCTAAAACCCTACACTAAGGACCTCCTACAATTACTAAATTCACTTTGTATGTTGTATTAGTCGTGTTTTCCATAAACCTATTACTATCTATTGGTGGCCAACATACGGTCTTTTAAGATTATGTTTATCTTATGTAGTTATAACATGTAATAGAAGTTATGTTTATGTATTTGAGATATAACAATTTGAGAGAAAAACTACCATATATATGATATTAAATCATCTGGAAAATATATTTGTGTGATATATTTTCTATATTGATATTAAGTAAATAATATTTTAAAGATATTTTACACTAAGAGATAATTTAAAGAATACGGAATTATGTATAGGATTTTTGGTAGTATTTCACAAAAAATTCTTTAGGATGTTGTAAGGTGTTAGGATCATTTCCTAATAATCGATTATAACTAGACTATCTTTTGTATAAATGGTCGACGATTAACTCAATAAGACGAGAAACTATTAACCTTCATCCAAAACTTATCAAGTTTAGAGAAACTTTACCCTTTCCTTCTTTCTTATTAGCATAGAGGAGCCATGATTGAGTATCGAAGTTGCAATTGTTTAGGAAAGTATACACAACATATAGGAGCTACTATTGGGTGCGATCATACCAACACTAATACACCGGATCCCATCAGAACTCCACAATTAAGCGTGCTTGGGCGAGAGTAGTACTAGAATGGGTGACCTCCTAAGAAGTCCTTATATTGCACCACTTTTTAAATAGGGCTTCCTAATAATTTTTTATCTTACCTTATATATATATGTGTGTGTGTGTGAAGCTACCATTGCCTAAGGGAGTATACACATCAAAGGTTATACCTCTAACCCTATTACGTGAGTCACATGATTACATGCTCGGGATTCTGCACAAATATTAGAAAATTGTTTCTTGAAATTGCCATTAATTGCACCGGTAAGTTCTTTCAATTACACACAACACGTGCCTTAGAGGGCAAAAGCTTTATTAATAAAAATCAACATGAGCCCAACACAACACAACTTAATTTATTAACACGTGTTAGACACAACTCGCATGAACATAAAGGCCTTGTTTGGCAAATTGCTGTTGGCGGTTGGCTGGTTCACTTGGCTTGTTTGACTAGCTGGAATATTTGGCTATTTATAAGAGCTTTTGAAATTGGCTGTTTAAGCTGGCTGTTTATAAAGGTGTTTGGTAAATTTATTTGTTGGCTGTTGACTGTTTATTAGATAATTTGTGGGTCAACAAGCCAAAAGCCAACAATAAAAGCTACTCATAGTAGCTTTTTCATTTTGGCTTAAAAGTCAGCTTTTTCGCTAATTAAAAAGCCAATTATCAAGCACATTTTTTGACTATTTAACCACATAAATAAGCCAATAGCCAATAACTAACCAAAAAGCCATTTACCAAACAGGGTCAATGCATAATATTACATGAAAGTCACAAAGGATAATATAATAAATGCGATAATAAAAAATCAAGATTATCAGAACAATGGGACTGCAGGAGGGGGTAATTCGAGAAGGTACATGATGTACATCATCACAATCACAACTCACAAGGCCCCAACTGCCTAATGCCTATCCCAAGGCTTATGAATCGTACCCCTTACGAAAACCACCCACCAATTTAAAAAAATCGGTCAAATGAGTCGGCGAGTTGCCGACTAACTCAAGCACTAGGCTCACGCTAACTCGACACCAAAACCAACCATGCATTTATAAAACACAACAATATACGAAGTAATATTTTCTCTGTCCTCAACTTTGCTCTTATCATCATCCTTTTTCTTTTTTTCCCGAAATGTCCCTGTCATTCTTAATCATCTTCCACTTGTGAGATTTTTCTTATGTTTATCTTAGATTTTTCCATTTTCATCTACTAATAATACTACCCTCAACTACCTTTTTCTTTTTATTTATACGTTTTATTATAGTAAAGGATTCTACCTTTTTTTTTTCCATCAAATTTTAATACCATTTCTATTATTAATTATAACTACCAATATTGTTATTAATATTTACTTTATTTTTCTTTCTTTCTTCAAATTTTGAAATTCTTAGTTTTCCTCGATTATCTAGATCGTCACCAAACCCTAATTATTTTCCCCCTTTTCCAGATCTTATAACCAGGTTAATTCTCCCTTTTTATCCTTTTACCCTTTTTTAATTTTATAAGTCTCCGATCTATATGTTGGTTGATCTTTTTTATTTTAATTTTATTTTCTGGGTATGTTTTTAATTTTAATTTGATTATTTGTTGGGATTTATGTTGATTGTGTTTAATTTTGATGGGATGTTTTGATTTTATAGTCGAATCTGGACTGTTTGTATTGTATAATTGTATTATTAGATGTGTTAAGATTTTTATATTTTTTTGATTTGTGTGTTGTTTGATTGGGTATTTTTAGTGGTGTTTTCAATATTATTTGATGTATTTTTTGTTAGGTTGAAGTTTACTGGATTTATCATGGGTTCAAGCTTAATAACTGCTGATGCTTCCGATTCATCTGTATGTTGATCTGGGTTTTCTGAAACCCTTTGTAATTTATTATTCTTTTTAGGAGTGGGGTTATAATTTATTTTTATTTTTATTTAAAATAGTGAAATTATTTATCTTGTGTATTCGAAGAAGAGGGATTTTTTTATTTTTATTTTTTTTGGTTTTAAATTTTTATTCTCAATAGTGAAATTATAATTTTCTGTGTATTCGAAACAGGGGTTCTAATTAGTTTATTTTTTATTTTTATTCCCTATAGTGAAATTATGAATTTTGTGTATCCGCAGAAGTGGAAGTTAATGCTTTGATATTGTACCTGTTATTGATTGATTTGTTGGCGATGTTGTTCTGCAACCCTCTTCATAGTCTTAATTTAGTTATTAAGATACATATGCTGATATGTTGAAGCTCCTTCAGTTTTGTTTGTAAATTTTTTTTGGCAAGCGAGTAATCTTTATGCGTTAATTGATGTTTATATGCTGATTTGTTAAAGTTCTTAAGTTTAGAGCATGCTTAGTAAACTTTTTGGGTGCTGTTAAGAGCTTGGAATCTCCATGGCTTAATTTTGATTCATATAATCATATGTTGAAGATTTTAGGTCTAGTACATGCCACGTAACTTGTAAGCTCATTTGCTACAAATTTTGATAATTTTTATGGCTCACTAAATAAGATTCTTATGTTGATGTACTGAAGTTTTTTTTGGTTTCGATCATGCTTTGTAAACTTTCGTGGCTATTATAGCTATACTTAAAAAAAAGATTCATATGCTGAGATGTTGTTGAAGTTTCTTTGCTTTCAAACATGCTTTGTAACCTTTCTTGGCTATTACTAAGCTTGACAAGAGCTAGGAATCTACATTGTTAATTAAGATTCTTATGGTGATGTGCTGTAGTCTTTAGATTTTAATATATACTCCGTACTTTGTAAGCTTAGTCGGCAGCCAGGGTTGTTAAGGGTCGGGAATTTTCATGGTTGTTAAAATATATATGCTTATATGTAGAAGCTCTTTGGTTTTGAACATGCCTTGTGGCTTATTGGTATACTGTCGAGCTTGTAGATTGGTTTCTAATACTCTGTATTTATTAGCCCAATCAAGCTCATGCAGCTTCTTAAGCACCAGTTTTTTGATTTAGCTGCTGGTGTTTGATTGATGGTGTTAGATTCTGGCAGGTTTAAGATTGCTGGGTGTTCTGAATTTGATGGATGTTGAATATTCTTTCTCAACAGGAAAAATTAAAAAGATGGATCATAATGAGACAGGATGCCAAGCACCAGAGCGCCCAACTTTGTGCATTAATAATTGTGGCTTCTTTGGTCATGCAGCCACAAGGAATATGTGTTCCAAATGTCACCGAGAAACAGTGCTCAAGGATGAACAGGCAAGGTTTGCAGCCTCTTCCATTGAAAACATAGTGAATGGGAACAACAAGGGCAAAGAGGCTGTTGTTGTGCCTGCTGCTTCTGTTGATGTAAAATCTGGAGAGGTAGAGACAAAAGTTGTAAATGTTCAAGCTGCTAGCGAGTCAATTGTTGGACAGCCTTCTGAGGACAAGAAAGCGGGTCCAAGTAGATGTTTAACTTGCCGTAAGCGTGTTGGTTTGACTGGTTTTAGTTGCAGGTGTGGTAACCTGTTTTGTGCCGCTCACCGGTACTCTGACAAGCATGATTGTCCCTTCGATTACCAGTCTGCTGCTCAAAATGCCATAGCTAAAGCCAATCCAATCATCAAGGCAGACAAGCTCGATAAAATCTAGAAGCATGATGACAAGTCACCAGTTTCTTTCTATCGTTGTTTTTCGCTTTTAGTATTGCTGCTTTCCTTGTTAGAAACTATTATGTCTATAAATGTATGACAGGGGGCAGTCACAGAGGTGCACTCACCTTGTTTGCCAACTGGGTTGGCCACCTCTGCACCAGTTTGTAAGTACTTATTTGCTGGTTTGTGGCACTTTGATAATTAATTTGCGAGTTTGGGTATTATCTCTATGATCACTTCTGCATATTTTTTGGTTTCACAAAATTTGACGTGTTGCTGGGTTATTGAATTTTTTTTTTCTTTTCTTATTTCAATACTTAAGATCACCATCATTGCTGGTTTTGAAAGTGTTGTGGTGAAGAGAAATTTGAAGTTCCATTCAAAAGGAAGAACGTGATCAATACCTTTTGGCTCAAAATTTCAAACAAGGTAACTGATTTGTTTGGAAGGGGGTGGAGTTTACAGCCATATATATTTATAGCTTACAAAACCAAAGAATTTATGTAGGAGACAAGCTTTTATGGCAGTTTGGCTTCAGGGTGTATATAATTGGCAGTAATGTTTGATTTTTATATCTGTGGGGATGTCTAACAATGCCTGTGGTAATGGCGTAATGCTACTCTATTTCCAAGTTTGTGCTGATATATAATTTAAATTACAAGTTTATATTGCAGCACATTACCATATTTGGATTGATCATAGGTTAGCATCGCCTTAGACATTGTCATGGTACTTGCAAAACTGCATAGAGAATAATTACATTACTGCCACTTATTTTCATTTAGTTCTCTAGTCATCTAAACAGGCCGTAAGTGTTTTCATTTTTTGGTATGAGTTGTTTATAAAAATAACCCTTAGTTAAGGAGCTGTCAATATGCCAGCCTTGCCAGGAACTGTAATTTTAGAAAGAAGTTTTTTTTTTTTTTTTTTTTTATTTTTTTATAATTTGCAGGTGTGCTGGTATTCAGTGTACACAACCTTCAATAGCGTTTTCCTTCTCTCTTTTTTTTGTCTTGTACAATATTCAGTTTACTTTCTTCATTCTGTTATTTTACAGTTGCATTTGATCTTGCTATTGAGGTCTAGGGGCTTAGCTCCTAAATTAGTATGGCTTCTGTCTTGTTGCATTTTATGTTCATAAGAGCAGAAGTAATTAATCAATTGATTAAGGATTCCCTCAAAGCTGTTGACAGATTTTGATCTGTGATATCGTTCGTGGAGGAGGGTATCATTTATCTATTTTTGTGGAGGTTTAGTTTTAGAAATACTTCACTTATGCTGAAGTCTGACGATTTGATGGTTAAGCTCTTGTAGCTCCATTTATCCAAGATTTTTGGTTTGCCATATTATTAGGTGCTGAGCAGGCTGACAATTGATAATGCTATCAGGGTGAGGCTATATAAATGGATGTGAAAGGAGGTACGAGTGATGTGAGTTGTAGAAATCGTACAATGCTGATTTTTTTTTAAGAAAATTGTCCAGGTTATTCTTATTGTGGGCAGGAAAGCTGTAAATTGAAAGTCGTTTGGGTGTTGGTGAAGAGGAAGTACCACCCATAGCTTTAGGAAGATGGTTATTATTTAAGAATGATGTGGAGAGATTATAAGACTTAACTGGTTTGTGATGATGATGAGGGAAAATACCATGCTGTTGCTTCTGGGTTTCTTAATACTACAGGGTATCATAGTTAAGTGATCGTGTGTTTTTCTCTTATGTTGGATTAATTCATGTGAGGCTGTGACAGGTAGGTAATAGGTTGATCCTGTTTTAGTGGTGGTTTATGCGATCGTTTAGCATTTTGCTCTCGGTGTTTCACGTGTGTTCACATGTTAATGATTTTTAATACTGCAAGGGTAGGGTCTAGCATTTGGTAAGTTGGTAGCCTTGTTTTCTTTTTTTTTTTTTTTTTTTTTTTTTGATATGGTATTCTATTGCAAATATTATTATTATTATTTTTTTCCTGTGACCAATGATCACTGCTAAACACCACAAGGGTGAAACCTAGATCTTCAGTCTGGTATTCTATTGCATTTATCTTTTCTTGACTGACGATCACTGCTCATCACCAGGGTGAAACCTAAAACTTCTCTCTCTTTATACTGTATTTGCCCAATACTGTATTTCTTTGTTAGCTGGTTGATATTTTCTGTTCTTGCTACAGTCGTAGTTTAGGGAAGCATAGAATGGAAACCATAGCAATGCTGTTCTAGTTTTGTAGCGATCGATGTGGAGTTATCGTGATTCACAGGACGGTGAGACGAAATATCCGTAGTGTGCACGTTTTGGTGTATGTTACATGTAGATATGATTCATGCAGTAGTATGCAGAAGCGTAATGAAATTAAGAGGTCAGTGTGTTCCATTCATTTGTGTACAGCGCGGCTCAATGACCTTCCGACTGACCTAGTTGGATCAGGATTTGACTATTTATGTTTGAAAACTATACAAATTTTCAAATCAGAAGCATTGCCATTATAAAACTACTTGTAGGAGGATCTAGGTGATGGAGGGACTTCCCCCAAGTGATCGGGGTTTGATTCCTCATCTCCCATTCTTGTGATAGGGTGGGAGTCTTTCCCGTATCTTACCGTTAAAAAAATAAAAATAAAACTACTTGTTGGTTTGGAAACAAGCTAATGCGGTTACAACCTAAGATAAGGCAAGACCCTTTGAGCTTAAAATTGGACAATTATCTGAACAATATAACCTCTAAACATTTTTTTGTTGGTCTTCAATGTGATGTACCATTGAATACAAGTATAGAAGTACTATTGCTGGATGTAACTTTGAATCCAAGGACAACTAAACTAACTCATTTCGTGACTTTGCGGTTTAAAGTTCAAGCATTTACATGTGTTTGAGAGTAGGAGATTTCACTATCTTGCTCCTCTAATGTATTACATCTATTTCATATTATGTGTAACAAATGAGTTTGCATAAACTCCTAGACAATTTTGTTTCTGAGTGTTGAATTGAGAGAAAAAGAATAAAGATAATAATGTATGTGATGAGGAGATAACTAGAGTGAATTGACAGGTTAAAAGGGAAATAAAACATTTGTTGCACATAATGTATACTCCATCCTCTCACATCATATTTCCTGTTTTTTGGAGACCTAAAATGTTGTTCTGATTTCTATTGTTGGATAGTATATAAAGATCATTATACCTTTATTTTTGTAAAACTATATTCATTGAGCTTTCTAAATTACCCTTAAATATTTCACATGCCTTGTATTTTTTTTTCCACTTTCTCTCTAACTTTTGTCTATAATTGTACTTTTTTTTTATTTTTTATTTATTATTTTTTTTTTTAAAAATGTACTTCATCCATTTTCTCCTTTTATTTCTTAAATACCGTGAAAAAAACACAAATAGGAACTATAAACTGAGACGGAGGGAGTAACTACTTTTAGTAAATGTTGTACATAATATAAAACGGAAGTAGTATTTATATTTGTCTTCAATGTGATATACCAATGAGTACAACTATACAATTACGATGGTAAATTGTTGGATGTAAATATGAATCTAAAGACAACTAAACTAAATCAAAGGACAAAATACGAGTTTATTTTCATGGTAATCAAAATTTGATTATTTAAGGGCATAAATGTCAATTTATGTCTTTAAGTATGGACAATTATGTAATTTCAACTGCAAAAAAATATTAACACTAAATCTTGAACAAAACGGCGGTAATTAACGAAGATAAAGCTGAAGCAACAATGGAGAAAATTCAATGGACAAAATCAAGCTCAATGAAAGCTTCAATAGAGGACATGGTCACCCTTATCCTTTGGGGTTGACCATACCCTTAATTTACCCTTTTTCATAGAATTTTCGTTTAAATTTGGCGGTCGGTGGAAGGTGGTGTTGACAATGTCGGTGGAAGATGGTGTTGAAAATGTCAAAAACGGTGGTAATTGTGGTGTCGGTGGAAGGAGGAAGAAGGTGGAGGAAGAAGAAGATAGCTTTAATTGAGGCTGAAGCATTTGACGGAGGACGAAAGATGCCATTAACATTGTCACTAGAAAATACAGCTTTAAAACACTAACTTGAGCAACAACAGTATGATATGTAAGGTAATACTGTTCAAGTTATTTACAAAATGACCATTAGATAAACAAGATATGTTTATCATTATGATGATTAATGGGGGTGGCCTCAGATCAAAGTCACAGGTTCAAGTCTCTTCATTTACCTATATTTTTTAGAGTAGGAGATTTCCTCATATGTCCCATTTATTATCAAGCTATTGTGAACTTGCTTGGATTTCATGAAAGGTGCTGGTTCTTACAATAATTAAAAAACCTTGTACATAGAATTTGAAATTCATTGCCTATTGATGTTTGTTTTTGTATCAAAGACAAAAAATAAAAATAAAAAAATAGGATAATCCTACAAGGGCTGGATTAATAAAACCAGTGTTAAAGTTTTTAGATTGGTTCGTATCTAATTATATATATTTTTATACACAAATTTCTATATGTGGCTGGTCACACTGTGTGACATAGCATTATAAGGTTACTTCGATAGTGTTATAAGGTTTACTCAGTAAGTGTTTTAGGGGTTACTCAGTATGTAATACAGGGGTTACTCTATTAGTGTTGTAAGGATTACTTTTTTCTTTCACAAGTGGTCACATGGTGTAGCTAGCCGCACACAAAGAACGCTGATTTTATACGAATCTATTAAAAAAAAAAAAACCAAGTGTAGTTATCTATTTTTGAAAGTCTAAATATAAGAGCTTATAATACAAAAAATCTTCCAAGGAAGGAGAAATTAAGCACTTAAGAGACTTAAATTAGGGCCGGCAAACGTATTAGGTCGGGTTCGTGTTCGGGTTAATTGATTTCAGGTCAGCTACTTCCCAATCCGAACTCGATCCATTTAACTTTTTGGGTTGAAAACCTCAACACAAATCTGATATTTTCGAGTTCGGTTCAGCCCAAAATTGACCTTATTTGACCTGGATTTTTATTTGGGTTTAAATCAGGTTGCTTTAACATGACCTGATTTTTTTTTCCATTTAATAATCTAATTTTTTCACCTGATATTTCTTCAAACATACAAGTTCATAGGTTCAGTAGTTCAATTAGGTAAACCTTATAAGTTAGGTAAATCATATTCCCTCCATATTTTATCACTTGCTCCACTTTCTTTTTGCGGCCGTATTTTATTACTTGCTCTATTTACTTTTTTGAAAACTTTAAACAATATTTTACTATTTCCCCCCCTCCCACCA